GCTTTTCTATTTGAGATGAAAGAATGCTTCTTGTCATTGAGAATGTCTGGATCTACTTTTAGAGTAAGTGGGAGTAAATGTTTAGAAAAAGAATGAGTACGATCTACACGATGTTCTTTAACCCTTTCGTTACCGCATCACATCTCGTAGATGTGATACAGAACGAAAAGAAATATTTTGCGTTCTGTCGTCCTCGTAGACGACGAATATCATATGGTATGTTTCAAGAAAAAGAAGAGGGGCTTAAATGATATTAAAATGGCAGTCATTGATATATACTACTGCATGTTTGGCGCTTGTTTCATTTTTTTTGAGATTCATGCTAATTGTCAATGATATTTTTTATTGTAGTTTATCGTTTATGCTTTATTTGGAGTAAGATGAAATTTTTCAAAACAATCAGGAAAACAAAGACCTGGTTGTCCATCACACATTTTACATTGATAAATAGTCATTTTCCGAATTTTATTCATTCGGCAAAGTACACATTCTTTCTGCTTGTGACGATTCGACTCAGGATTAACATCAGTTTTGTCTAAAATAGGTTACTCGGACATAGTAAAAAAGAAATGTATTCGATAAATAAAGAAGTCTCACTCGCAAAATGTTGAGTAATTGTCGTTGCCACTTTCGAACTACGATCAACAAAATTCGGCGATGCGGACCGTTTTTGTTTCGGTCTAAAATCTCTCGTCGATTTCCTGGCAATTCCCGTTTCTTCCATTGTCTCACGCACATAACTCAAAAAATAAAATACTTTTTTATCAGTTTACGTTAGTCCGTACCTCATTAGAAAATCATTCAACGTAGTATTCGATTTTGTTTGTTTGTACATGATATAAGAGTTGAATAAGAGTCGACTGAAAAAGTGTAGAGCTAATTTGATGAACCATCGATAAGTTTTTCTATCAATGAATGTGTGATGAAGAGCACTATCTGACATATCAACACCTCCCATGTTCTTATTATAATCGATGATGCTATTCGGCTTTAAAATTTGCTTCTTGACTCCACCTATAATCAAATTTTCTTCAGCTATTCGAGTGGAATTGATATCACATTACCTTTTTCGTATCGTTCCACTAATGAACCTCCAGCAATGCCTTTCGAATCAATCAAATAAATTTCTTTTTCACCACTTGCTTTTTTATCTAGGAACTTCACTAGAAGAAGTTCACCACTTCGTATAAAAGCAGAATCAGGTGCCTTCATTTTTTTTCTTGTTAATTCTTTTGGAACTCCTAAATCGAAAGAAAAAATATTTTCATTGCTATTTCTAATACATGTACTTATTTCTATTTAATTAGGAAATTTTGTTTTATTCAATAACTGAATATTCAATCTATTTATTTAATGGCTTCGTCATCATCATCTTCATCTATCAAACGTTCAATAGACAATATTGATACGTCAAAAGAAAATATTTCACCAAATAAAAGAACGAACATGGGATACACTCCATTTCAATTAAAAATTATTGATATGTTTAAAGATGTAAATTTGATGGCACCTACTCAGTTTCTCGGTAAAGGACTTTTCTATTGATCTAACTGAAAAAGCAATTAAATTCATTTTTTTTGATATGTATGCATATTGCAAAAAATTTTTTTATCTCATTACAAGTAATCTAGATAAATACGTTTATATAGTATCATTTACAAGTTGAATTTATCTCACTTCACCCCAAGGTTTATCATTCTTTTTGAATATATTTGCAAAGTGTCGTTGTGCACGAAGATTCGTGCATTCTGCAATGTGGTTGAACAGAGAATCAGGCAACATTTTTTTGTAAAAGTCCGAGGGTATCGGACATACTGGAACAGTGAAAGTAGGTCCTGATGGTTCATTGAAATCAGATAAACATTTAGATCGACAATCATTTTTTGGTACAACAAATGTCCATTTCTCTTCAAATTCTTTTTTCGTACATCCTGCTGCTGTTGTTGTCACTTTTGATGGATATATATTCTCATCATCGCTGTAAAATAGTGTAATTAGAGATTATGCGACATACGAACTGTTTTATCACCTATATTCTTCACTTTCCTCGGCTTTGAATTGTGTGCACTCTTTCTCATTATCAGTAAGATTTGAGTTCGTATTCTTCAAAGGTTGTAATATTCGACTTGATTGATATATTGCATCATCATCACTAGAATTTAGTATAGTTCGTGAATTCTTGTGGAAATTTTTTTATTTATCACCTATATTCTTCACTTTCAAAATTACCGACTGGTTTCATGTCATCTTCAATATCATCAACATCGGAATCATCGAGAGCTTTTGTATACTGATCTATTTCATCATCTTGTTCGAAAATATCTTCCTCGTTATATAACATTTTGACTACACAATAGACAACGAAGTGCTTTTTATGTACGAAATAGCTTGTTTTCTTCAAGGCTGTAGCCTTTTCAAATTCAATTTGTTCATCACACGTGATTCTTTTTACAACAGCAAGTTCTTGTCTTTTTTTTATGACTAGCAATAATGATACTAGATTTCAAACACAGCTGATTGTGACGACAGAACGCAAGAGAGAGAGATTCAGTTATTTTTCTTCGTGTATGTGCAGAACGCAAGAAAATGTCGGTAATGAAAGGGTTAAATATACTTCTTCTCTTGTAATTAGATATCTTTATTTGTTTACACTCTAGTAGTCAACATTAATTGAATTTAATTATCAAAAACTACTTCCATTAGGTAAAAAAAGAAAACAATTCCTATTCCGAAATAAGAGATTATTGATTTTTAAGCATACATGGATTTATGCTCCTTTATTTAGATTTGTTGGTTAAATTTTCTTCATTCTTTTTGGTTATTTGAATTTGTAATCTTTATTTACTGGATTTGGTTATCAAACACTGCTTCAATTAGGTAAAACAGAAAACATTTCTAATAGAAAAAAACAGAAATCATTGATTTTTTAATATATATATATTTGCTCTCTTTTATTTAAATTTTTCGGTTAGTTGGTGTTGATTATTTTTCTTTAATCGTATTCTTGACATTTAATTATTCAATTGGGTTCTTAAACTTTATTTTGATCAGGTAAACGAAAAAAAAATTCTGAGGGAAAGAAATCATTGATTTTTAAATGTACATTTATTTCTACCGTTTTATTTAGATTTGTTATTTAATTGTTTTGATCATTTGTATTTATTAACATTCTTGATCTTTATCGAACGCATTAGGTTATCAAATATTACTTCCATTAGGTAAAATAGAAAGCATTTCTAATTAAACAAAAAAGAAATCATTGATTTTTAAGTATACATTTATTTTTGCTGCTTTATTTAGATTTGTTATTTAATAGTCTTGATCATTTGTATTTATTAACATTTTGATCGTTATCTACTAAATCTGATTATCAAATATTATTTCGATCAGGTAAAAGAGAAAAAATTCCTTACGCAAAAAATATTCGTTTTGAAATATCAATATATATTTATTTATTCTCTTTTGTTTAGATTTTTTGATTATATTTGTTGATTCGATTTATTTACTTACATTCTCGATCTGTACTTATTCAATTGAATTATCAAACATTTCTTCAATTAGGTTAGAAAGCATTTCTTATTCAGAAAAAAAAGGAGTTGAATTTGAAATATACTCATACCTATTTATTTAGATAACGTTTATTAATGGAAAATTTATCTCCTAATCAAGTGATTACCTGGATTAAATCTTTTATTGAAGATGAAACAATTGTTCGTTTTTTTCGAGGTACAGTAAGCTTCATATAACGATGTCGACAGTCTTGGTTGAACAGAACTGTATACAGTAGAAAAGAGCATCTCATAGCTGCAGAAGTTGAAAGCATTGTTAAAATATATTACGTTCTTAGTTGATAATATAAAACTCGCAAAAAGTCTAGAAAAACATTTTTATTTGAGAAGTGAATTTTATCCTGTTATATTGACACATGTGTCTTTGAATAATGTACGATATTACCGCAAAAAATTATTTTTTATCGCATTGTAAATGAGTAAATTCTTAAAATACGCGAAGAAATAAAGCATCTTTTTGTTGATATTCAACGTCCTTTTTATATTAATACGTTCTAAATTATAATTTATTATAGTTTCTTGAAAAACACATTTTTCATTTTTTGACGTTCGTGTTTTAGTAATATAACTATTTTTGACAATATCGTGTTACTTAAACTATCCGTGCTGTTGGAATAATAGTTATGTCTGAAATACATTACTTTTGTCCTCTATGTCTTACTCCAAACGTTTTTAAAAATTATTCCTTGCTGTTCAAGCATATTCGTGCAGAACATCGTGACGATCCATCTTTCCAGATTCGGTGTGAGTTAAGTGTGTTTTGCGGATTGCGTTACTCAACGTACAATAGTTACCGTCAACACATTTATCGTTGCCATCGCTCTTTACTTGACTCTTTCGACGACAACGATGATATTATGTTATGGAATATTAACGATATTACAGAGGATTTAGAAGATTTTTCTTTGGATCCTTTGTGTAATACTCAATTGAATCTTATCGATAATTCTGATTTGTTAATTTATCCAGAAAATGTTTCTGAAATGGATTATAATTTTTTTAATTCTGATTCCAATACCATTTCCGCTACCAACGAACATATAACATTTAACAAGATTGCAGAATTTTATACGCGTTTTCTTCTTGAATTACGAGAATATCATTTACTTCCGCAAAAAATCGTGCAATCGATTTCTTTTTATATTTCTATGTTACTTGACATGGCTGTTAAATTGATTAAAAGGAAAACATCAACTTCCGCATTCATCTCAACCAATGATTTGGATATTGCTTTCGTACATATTAATTCAATCATTAATTCTATTTCGAAAAGTGAATATCAATTTTTAAAACAATGTACGAAGCATTTCAACTATGAAGCTCCAACTAAAATTATCTTAAATACCGATGATCAACAGGCTTATTACATACCATTAAAACAAAGTTTAAAAAGTATGCTTGAAAATGAACAATTATTGAAGTCTATAATTGATAATATCAATGCTTTATCGAATTGTGCAGCTAATGACCAAGATCTAATCGTGTCAAATCGACAAGGTCGTTCAATTATATCAAATATATCTCGTCAAGCAAATAAAAATGTTTTATTACTTAAATTATATACAGACGGGCTCTCCATTACTAATCCTCTTGGTGCTGAAAGAGATTCTCATAAACTCACTTGTTTTTATTATCTCTTGGACGACATGCCTGACATTGTTCGGTCAAAAGTAAATTCCATTGGACTATTTTGTATGTGTTATACCAAGCATTTAAACGATCAGAACAATGTAAAGATATTAATGGATGTACTTGTAAATGATTTGAATACGCTTCAGAATGAAGGGATAACGATTGCATGCCCATCAAGTCGAATCTATTTCGTTTTTTCAACTATATGTGCTGATAATTTAGCCGCACATGAAGTCGGAGGCTTTCAGAAGACGTTTAGTTCCGGAAGCTTTTGCCGGCATTGTTATATCACTTATGAACACCGACTTATTCCTTTAACTGATTTATCATTTCTACCTCGAACCAAGTTGAAGCACGATATAGTACTTAGTCAAATTATCAATAATAATAATGATCAGACTATACAAGGGATTAAATGTAACAGCTGGTTTCAGAATCTAATCGGTTTCCATCCAACTGAATCATTACCACCGGATTTGATGCATAATGTGGCAGAAGGTAATAAACATTTACATATTTTTTCATATATTAAAAAAATATTTTTCCATCATTAAGGTTTATGTCCATTGATTATTAGCGTTTTATTAAAAGAAGCCGTACAACAAAATATTTTGACTTATGCTGAAATTGAACAACGCACGTCGAACTTTAATTTTGGCTTTAATGATCTGTCTAATAAACCTCCACCTGTAAAAAAAAAAGCATTTATCTAAATCAAATATTAATGGCACCGCCAGTCAAAGATTATGCTTATTTCAATTTTTCCCCTTTATTTTCTATGACATCATCGATTATCTATCATTATTTAGTTTATATACATTACTACGTGAGATTATTAGTTATCTCTACGCTAATGTCATTAGAAAATCTTGGTTACCATATATTGATGTATTATGCAAATCTTTTCATTCATTAATGGTTGAACGTTTACCTGATCATGTAACACCAAAAGTTCATTTTCTTACTGAATATTGCCGTTTGATAGAAAATCATGGTTTACCTGTATTAAATACTTGTATACGCTTTGAATCAAAACACCAATACTTCAAACAATTTGTTAATCGTGGACTGAATTTTAAAAATCCCCTTCTCACTATGTTTAAACGACATCAATTACGTCAATGTTTTTTAAACAAAATAGAATCGTCTCATGTTTCATCATCCACCACAGTGCATTCGTTCAAATCAGTCGATATTTCTAAATTTTCTCTTCCTATTCAATGTTTATTAAAGAAAGAGATTTCTGAAAGTGAAAAAATATGTGAAAGCTCATCTGTTTATTATCACGATCTTAATATAAAACAAAAATCTGTATTTGTTCATGATCTTCTACATACTGAAGAAATTCCCGTGTTTTGTCAAATTCATCATCTGTTAAGAATAAAAGAAAAATGGTTTGCAATTGCGGAACAATTACATACAAATTCTTTCAACGAACATTTATGTGCTTATGAAGTTGAATATACAGGAACATTAGTTGAAATTGATGTAGAACATTGTTTAGATATATTTTCTGATTGTCTTGATATTTATGAAATCGAAGAAACTTATTATATAAATATGTTGACTCGTTTAACTAAACGATAAAAAATAGTCTTTCGTATATTCATACATGACATAGATCAATCTTCCGCTTGACAACTAGTTGATCCATAAATAATATTTTATATATTATCTATTGAGCCTTTTTTATTTAAATATTTATTATTATTTTTTGTTTAGAAGAAGACATCGATGGGGCAACATTAGTTTTACTTCAACCGGATGATATTGTGAAAATATTTCCTCGACTTAGGGACAGGGTCAAATTTGTCGATCAACGGACAAAATTGGTTGAAAAATTCAAGGAATGTCGAACAGATGCTGATGAATTTACAGGTAATCTACTTGAATCAACATTATCATCTTCTACATTATCATTATATTTTTCAGATGTCCCTCGAAATAATGGTTCACCAGATTTATCTGTTTTAATTACAACTGAAGTTAATCAAAATGATGAAATATGTGATGATACATCACCTAATATTGATTGTCATGACAGTGATGATAATCATGTTGAATCACGATTACCTACAGATTATACAGGTCCAATTTTATCTTCAAGAATACAATATTTTATTGATCAAAACAATATTGCAAAATTTAATCCACATACAACTTTACGTGCTGAAATATTATCTCTCATTTTTGATGATGTAACAAAAACACATAATTTACTGTAAGTTATTATCGTTTATAATATTTTTCATATTGTTGCATATTTGAATTTAGTTATCCCAATCATGATGAATATATGATGATGGCTAAATCTATTGTTCAAAAACTATCCATTCCATCAGGTTTAGTTTGTGAAGCTACTGTAAGAAAAACTAATAAATTGATTCAAATTGAATTTTGTCTCTTCTCGTAGAAAGAATGGCATGAATCAATAAAACAGAAGTTTAAACGTGAACGAAGACCTTTACAAATGGAAAACGAGTTAGCGCAGAAAAAGAAAGATACATACGGTAATGGTAAAACAAATGGCCGTCCAAAAAGAAAGAGTGTTGTTGTACAAGCTGAACGTCGAACAAATGATGTAGTAGGTGATAAAATAGCTTTATATAATATATTATATTGTATATTGTGATAGCCATTTATCAACCTCAATGATAATCATGATGAAAATCTTTCATCTTTAGTTAATCAAATGAAAATTGAATTACTTAAAGATGATCCTGATACTGATATTCTACATAATATTTGGAGACAGTCGTTTAATATTCGTCGTTTACATGTTCGTCAATTACCAATTGATGAATTACTCAGCCGTTTTCCTGGTTATCGTCGACCAGATTTGGTGAGAGATATTAATAATATTTAATTAAGAATTATTTTTTGAATTAATATACATTTGACCATTTTCGTGTAATCTGTTTTGATTTTTTTTCTTCTAGCTATTGGCTGAAGTACAAGAAACTGCTGGTGTTGATCTTGTTGAAAATGTTAAAGATATATTACCAAAATTGTTTGACTGTATTCCAGATAATAATTGTTTTTTGTCGGGTAAGAAAGTTGTAAAACAAAATCCGGAAAATGCGAAGGAAAAGATTATTTAACCTATATTTATATTAAGATGCATAATCTTAGTTTTCTATATATTACTTAGGAACAAATTCACTATTGTTAAAATATAGCTGCAAAACTGGAAATATAAACTATACTTTCCTTTAAAGTTTTGTCATAATATGAGATTAACTTCGCTAAAGATATATTTTAATAATTATCCAAGTTTTCGGGATTTTTTTCGTTATTCTTATCTATCAAATAGAAATAAGTTTTCTGAGAGTATTAATTTTTCAGTTTTTTTTATTGTAGACGTTTTACCTATTCGGGTTATTCGAGTTTTATGTAAAAAATTTGGTGATTCTGTTGGTAATGTATTCACTCATGATGTAAGTGTTTTATTTATGTATTTTTTATACAACGTATTTTTCAATTTTATCCATAGGAAGTACTCGTTTCATATCCATGTATCAAAATTCTTGACAATAAATTTGAATTATATCTCGATTTTCATCTTATTACAGAAACAGATTCATGTTCAACAGCTCTTGCTTTACTTTTATCACTTTATTATGTATTTGAAATTCGATTTGCATCTCATAATAGGTGTTGTCGACTTCTTTATAGCATTTTATTTGAAGATACACATCATTTAAATAAATCGTTGAAAAAATTATTAAATGATTGGAATTACAAAATTATCAATCGACCACTAACAAAACGACAAGCATCTGTTATGAACATAACAGAAAGTTTTACTCAACCATCAACTGATAATGAAAATGTATTATCTTCATCCAATAATTTAACTCAAGTATGTCCCTTGATCGAACTTTAAAGGAATAAAGCTTAGAGATTGTAGTTTTATAAAGATATGAACAACATCCTCCTAAAAAATATATATACTTGAATAAAATCCTTGATTTTCAGAAGAAAAAAAACATTCTTTAGTTAAAGCTTAACCTCGACTTAACAACATAGTTATAATTATTAGCAAATTTATGTTTAAAAAAATACTTTACAAACGATATATAAGATATTTGCTTATTTATAAAAACTCCAAGTAAAAGCTGTTTAACAAGTGCTGTTTTGTTTTGAAAACATAGTCGAACACGCAAATATTTATTTTTTCCGTCTCATAATTCATTCTTTTAGCTTTGTTTTACTATATCTTTAGATTGATCATTTAACATATCAACAATCTCAACAAGTTCGATCATGTTCAACACCTTCAAAAGAGATAACTTCAGAAAATATTCAACATCATCTTAGTCGTGATCATGAAAATGATAATGATCAACAATCAGATGCTGATGATTCAAATATGTTCAATCATTTATCAAATGTTTCAATTCCAATTATTGATTCTGAACTAAATTCACCAACGATCCCACAAAATAAATCTCAATCATCAACTAATAATCCAGCATTAACTGATGATTTTCATTTATCACAAACAAATGAATTATATTCGTTAAAAAATCCTCTTATTTCAAAAGAAAATCGAACACAATCTGCACCAGCAAAAGAACAAACTAAATCTAGTATCAATCTCAAACGAAAACGTAAACAAGACCAAGCAACACCATCAATCACTTTTCCAAAACAATCAACACGTAATGTATCAAAACGAACTCGTGTTCAATAAAAACATTTTATAGACTTAAACGTTTCTTTCTCTTCTCTTCTTTTTTTACGTGGATATTAACCGTTTTTATATTTTCATTTTTACCTGTCAAACTTTATTATTTTATTTACATATTAAAGAAGAGAAGCTATTTTAACACACGCCAGAGCCTGTTTAGTAAACTACAGCTTCATAAAAACATCGATGTATACGATAATCGTCCACACAGAACCAACATTTATTCTTTCACAGCATCAGTTCAATCATGAACAGCCATTCATTATTTCATCACCATTTATCACAATTACCATTACTTCGGTAATCCATTCTATTGAGAACGACCAAACCGCAAAATTTACTATATATGTCAACAACCATCAGTACACTCTAAAAAAAGCGTTTTCTCTGATACTGAAACACCTCCAGAAACCCTTTCAGAAACCTATAAACGTACCCGAAAATGTTTTCGTATCCATAAAAAGTTTCTAAAAATATTTTCCAGGTTTCCTGGACCCGAAAGCCCTAACGTTTTGGGGGAATCAACCCAGAAAACCATCAACTGTATTTTCAGAAACCGTAATACTTGTTACGAGAAACTAAGTTTCCTCGGAAACTATTTTTGATTGAAGAACTATCTGAAAAATATTATACGTATTCTCGTGTACCTCTCCGTTTTTGTTCTTTTTTTATTGAAAACGTTTTTCGGTATCCTGGCATCGAAAAACGATGAAGACGCTTCCTAAAAATCTATGATGGTTTCCCAATTTATCGAAGAAACCCTGAGGGGTGTATGAATCTTTTTAGATTTTTTAGCTTTCCAATAACTGATCTCAGAAACCATTCATTACTGTGAAAATCGGAATAGCATCACACGTAATTGCATATGCGCTTCGCTTTCTATTAATACCATTCACTGATTTATCAGTTTTTCAGAATTCATAAAAAGAAATCTTCTTCCATGTACATGAACTTCCACAAAATTGTAGAACTACTAGAATTCAAAAGAGCGGTCCATTTCCAAGAGAATCATATCTAATGGTAACATCCATGATTATTTACATATAAGAATGAATTCGATGATGGATCGGCTTCATAACTAAAGAGTTTTTCCAAATCGTCATATCCTTCAAAGAATTTTGTCATTTTTCTTCCGCATTTACATATGTTTTCTCCCACATGCGAAACATTTATATATTTGAACAACGATCGTGATATAACGGTAAATTGTATTTTATATATATACATATTCTAATTTTTATTTAGATGGATCAAATCAATCATTTCATGGTAAGTTCTACTTTATTATTATATATTCTTATTTTTTCTTTAGATTCAGCAAATGAACCATTTGATGCTAAGTTTTATTTTGTATATATACATTTTCTTATTTTTATTTAGATCAATCTAATTAACGATTTAATGCTAAGGTTTATTTTATTGATATATATATTCTAATTTTTCTTTAGGCGCAGCGAATCATCGATTTAATGGTAAGGTGTATTTTATGTATATATAGATATTGTTATTTTTATTGAGATGCATCTAATGGATGATTTAATGGTAAGTTTTATTATATATATATAGATTTTCTTATTTTTACTTAAATCCATCTAATCACTGATTTAATGGCAAGTTTTACTTTATTAATATATATGTTCTAATTTTTATTTAGATTCAGCAAATGAACGATTGAACGGTAAGTTTATTTTATATATATATACATATTCTAATTTTTATTTAGATGGATCAAATCAATCATTTCATGGTGAGTTCTACGTTATTATTATATATTCTTATTTTTTTTTGTATTCAGCAGATAAACCATTTGATGCCAAGTTATATTTTATACATATACATTTTCTTGTTTCTATTTAGATCCATCTAATCAATGATTCAATTGTAAGTTTTACTTTATTAATATATATATTCTAATTTTTATTGAGCTTCAGCAAATGAACGATTTAATGATAAGCTGCATTTTATACATATATATACATTTTTTTATTTTTCATTACATCCATCTAATTAACGATTTAATGGCAAGTTTTACTTTATTAATATATATATTCTAATTTTTCTTTAGGTTCAGTAAATCAACGATATAATCGTAAGTTCTATTTTATATATAGATATATTCTAATATTTATTTAGATTCAGCAAATGGACGATTTAGTGATAAGTTTTATTTTATATATATATTCAAATTCTGATTTTTATTTAGATCAATCTAATCAACGATTTAATAGCACGTTTTGCTTTTTAATATATATATTCTAATTTTTACTTAGATTCAGCAAATGAACGATTTAATGGTAAGATTTATTTTACATATTTATACATATTCTAATTTTTATTTAGATGGATCACATCAATGATTTCATGGTAAGTTTTACTTTATTAATATATATTTTCTTATTTTTTTTCGGATTCAGCAAATGAACCATTTGATGCGAAGTTTTATTTTATAGATATATATTTTCTGATTTCTATTTAGATCCATCTAATCAATGATTCAATTGCAAGTTTTACTTTATTAATATATATATTCTAATTTTTATTTAGATTCAGCAAATGCACGATTTAATGATAAGTTTTATTTTATCGATATATACATTTTTATTTTTAATTAGATTCAGCAAATGGACGATTTAGTGATAAGTTTTATTTTATATATTTATACATATTCTGATTTTTATTTAGATCAATCTAATCAACGATTTAATGGCACGTTTTCCTTTTTAATATATATATTCTAATTTTTCTTTAGCTTCAGCAAATGAACGATTTAATGGTAAGATTTATTTTACATATTTATACATATTCTAATTTTTATTTAGATGGATCAAACCAGTGATTCAATGGTACGTTTTATTTCATTGATATATACATTCTAATTTTCATTTAGATTCAGCAAATCAAACGATTTAATGGTAAGATTTATTTTACATATAAATTCATATTCTGATTTCTATTTGATCCATCTAATCAATGATTCAGTGGTAAGTTTTACTTTATTAATATATATATGTTACAGGCAAAATTAAACTTTAGGTAAAATTGATTATATTAGGCGCAAAATTTTTGTATATATATTTTTTGTTGTATTTTTAATTTAGAAATAATTCTTAATTATCGTATATATTCAAACATTTCAGCCGGTTGATCGACTATTTCATTAATGAATATTTCAATACTCTTTTTGTAAATACGATCAATACGATACATTTTCTATATCAAAATAGTAAACGAAAAGTCTTATACAAAATAAACTACAATCTAATTATACAACATTTACTTTTTCTTCTTTTTTCGGGCGTTATTTTTTTCGTCTGACTAATTTAAAAATTCTTTTGATGGCAGAGAATATTCGTTATTCAATCGTAAACATCTACTATCTACTAATCAACATCTTTTAGATCACTTATCTGATGATTGTCTCTTTTTTTGTATATCAAATATGATATGTAATTGATGATGTATGAAGGTGCCGATAAAATAATAAAAGTGAGTTTTGAATTTTATTCTTATCGTCTTCTCCAACAAACAAAAAGCAATTCTTAAAACACATATTTAGTAGTTAGAATTTACATTTTATAATGCTTCTATTCTTTTCTAACTTTCCCCTCTTCTTTTTTTCATTTTGTTGGTTGGTGAGAAATCATAAAATACTCTGATGACCAATAGAAATGAGAAAGTCAGTATTCTGTATGAGTTTGATTTCATATTGTACAATGTCATGTTTTCTTATGATTTCCCTTTTTCTATTAAAGTAAGAATGAAAAATAGTTGGTCATTTAGTATGTAATCCATAAGAAAAAAAATAGATATTTTATTTTTATTAGTATTAATCTCAATAATACAAAAATAAACAAACCTGAAACTATGTAATTACTATTTAAGGTTTTATGTTCTCTAGTTTTCTCTGTTTCCTTTTTTCTCTTAATTTTTTCGGTTTTTGTTGTGTTAGAAGCTACAGAAATATTTTAGCAAGGAAGAAGCTTGAAATCAGATATTCTACATTGACTTGTTGCTGTTAACATCATATGATATCACTTTTTCGTTAATTTTTTTCTTTTTCTAAACTAAGAGTGAAGTTTTAACGATCATCTATAAAGATAATAGCAACCCAGAGAGATGCTTAATCTGTATTATTGTTATATTCAAAACACAAAAGTCATGCTCGAACATACGATTACTGATTAGGTTCTCATATTGTATTATCAGTTTCTCATTTCTCCCCCCATTTTTTTCGTTCTTCCTTTTTTTTGGTCGGACAAAAGTCAGATACTAACTCTCATGGTACAAAAACTTAAAGCTTATTATTCTATTCTTAATCGACTTACTTCATATCATATTGTATCGATTCCTTCACAGTCATCTTTTTTTTCTGAAGTGCGACTGGAATTTAAACGATCATCTATAAAGATACTAACGAGAATTAGCTCTTGCTATTATATGAGTATTATTAACTTTGTTAAAGACAGTAGTTTACTTTCAAACCGAATTAATAGTTATGATATTTCTTTGTTAATTTTGGGCTCTTTTTCTGTGCTAGTTCTCTTACCCAACCCATACTATATCTTCAAGCTTTAAACAAATCATTATATATATTAAATTTACTAACACGGGATCATTTCAACAGATTTTATCAACAAAAATGAAAAAAAAACGAACAAGTAAGCCACCAGCTAGAGCATAATCACAGCTGATGAATCTGCCACAGTCCAGTAAACAGAGTTTTCACATACTGTGTTCAAAGAGGACCAGATAGTATTCACATTTTAGATTAAGATCATCAGTTTTCAATAATAATCACAAAAATCTTTATCTGTCTGAATCTAATGATTATTTCCAAAGAAAAAGACTAGCGAACTCTGCATCTTTCTAAAATTAATGATAATTATTTGAGAAATACCTAGCGTACTCTACATCTTCTTCAGCAGTATACAATTTTCATAGGAAAAGCTAACGTGCTCTACATCTTCTTCAAAAGTATACAATTTTATATAGAAATAGCTAGCGTACTCTACATCTTCCTAAAATTAATAATAATTATTTAAGAAATAGCTAGTGAACTCTACACCTTAAATTTAATGATGATTTTAATAGAAAGCTTTAGCGAACGCTACATCTTCGTAAATTGAATGATAATCGTAATAGAAATACTTAGCGTACTTTACATTTCAATTTCGCTATATACTTTTAAAATGAACTTACGAAATTTCAAATTTCAGTTTATTTTATGTATTATCAAATGAATAAATTCCGATTTTATTTTAGAAATTTAATTTTTCAAAATGCAAGTTTAATTTTGCCTAAGTCCTAATTTTGCCTGACACATATTTATATAGTTTTTGTATAATATGTTATGATATGTCTATGTGTTAATAATAATACTTCTTTTCATGAAAAAGGTTTTTTCCAAGAAGTGAAGGAAAAAAAATTACTTCCGTTTTGTATCGTTGCAGAATTACATAACCTATATCAAATTTATTGCTCTTCAAAGATTCACCAATCGTTCTTTTTCTCTTCATCTGACGTAATGTAGGAAAAACCTTGTATCAAAAATTTCCAAGTAATTACATCGATTTTATCTACTTATTTGTAATGACTGACAGTCAATGTATATATAAACATTGATAAACATAAATATGCATACATATACAGTGTTGAATTTATTTTGCAACATTAAGGTGAGTATATTTCATTATCAGGTGAATACAGTCATGTTGACACATGTATTGAAACCATTCCTAAGCATATTTATAAATACTTGCATTGAACAGTATCACATTATTTAGAGCTAAAACATTTTATTTACTAATTTCATTGCGGTTTTTACTCATTTAGAATATTCCAAACGCTCTAGAGAATCGGGAAAAAAAACGAACATTTTTTTAATGATATAACTAATAGTAACAAACTTAAATTGATAGAAAATTAAAAGAACATAGATTTATTCGTGAGCAGATTTCAATCTTTTCATCTATTAATTGAGAGAACGATAACAGGCATAAATCGATACGATCATGTTTGCTACATTGTGTTGGCCATTATGTTCGATTGCCGTTAAGCTTTTCTTTAGTTCTAGATCAGTTATCAATTCTTTACAAGAAATATGTATAAATATGTTTGTAAATATTTGTTAACTGAAAGATGTAGTTTCCATACATGCATCAACATGACTATATTCTCTTTCTCGTAGAGAAGAGTCTTGCAAACATAAATTGTCTGATTGATTGCTTGGTTGTGTGTCCGCACTTCACTGATTGCTCCAAAACAAGGTGAAGATAAAAAGGATTATTTTCCATAAAGCTTGACCAAAGGCTAATCGACGATGGGGAGTTCGAATCTGAAGTTATTTTTCACTAATTAACAACTAATTGTTAATTATTAATTAATTAATAATTAGTATTTTCTATAAAACTTGACCAAATAGTAATCGAGGATGGAGAGTACAAATCTGAGGTTAGTTTTAACTAACTAATTCATTATGTGTTATTTATTAACTAATATATAATTAATAATATTTTATGTAAAACTAGACTAAAGATGATCGAGGGCGAGGAACTCGAATCTGAGGTCAGTTTTTTGAAATTTTTTTGAGCATCAATTTTTTCATAAAAAGGAGCAATTTTTTATGAAAAAAAATTTTCTTATAAAGCTTGATCGGAGGGTAATCAAGGTCGAAGAACTAGAATCTGTTATTAGTTTTTAAAATTTTGGGAAGCTCAATTTTTTGCACAAAGGGCCACTTTCTTACAAAAAAAATTTTCTTTTATAAACTTTGATAAAAGACAATGGAGATTGAGGAACTTGAACCGGACTTCGATTTTTTTTGATTCTATAAGTGAACAGCGTAGTGATCATTCAGAAATACAACTTCTACGAGAAAGAGCTGAGCGAATCTTTAGACGAGCATTACTTGTTTACTTATCGATGAAACATATTCAGTTAAATACTGCAAAATAACTTCGAGAACAAAATTTGTCGAAGTTGAACTTCGGCAAAATTTATTGTGGAGATGGATCTATATTGTGAGTGTGAGAATTGATGAAGCGATGAACCATACTGACATTCCTAAAAAACATTCTGAACTAGTGATGGATCACTTAACTAGGGTGTAGGTGTGTGGGTGGGATTACTTCTACTGTTTACATTCTCATCCCCATCCCCACCCACACCCTTTACACATTCAACCAATATCAGCAATAAATGTCTTTTGTAACTTATGTCACTGAATGAGTTCAATTGGCGAGTAGAGAGAGAAAAATAATTGAATGCTCATAATAATCATGTTTTGAATAATTTATAAGTAGAATGCTCTTAAGATGTCTTTTTTATTTGTTAGAAATGTAGCAAAAGTATAATATTTCAGGTCCATCAGCAGCATGAACTGTGGCAAAGCTCTATTGACAATATCGCACTTGGCCAAAGTTTTATATGATATTAGCAAACAAGTCCAAACCAATAAAAATCAATGCCAACGTAAGTGTTTTCAATCAATTTCATATAATTCTGTCAAATACAATGCCTTCTCTTTCAATGAAAAAATACTTACTTCACATTTTTCACTGAAATGAATATGTAGAAATCTTGTCTATATTGATTTTAAATAAAATAATTCCACTTTCAGGTCTGTATTCAGATGCTTTTTTACTAAAGTTATTCGAGTCTCGAACATCGTATTACATTCATTTGAGCCGACACAACTCAACAAATGTTGTTAGTTGTTATGGTGGCAAATTTTGTCTAAAGAATATTTAATCTTGAAATTTTAAATAACTTACATTATTCTCGAGGAAACCAGTGTTCCACAATTCAGCGACCGTTCATGAAGTCACACTAATAAAGTTTTTTTTAATATTCTACATCAGTTGTGTGCATGTATGTTTGTAAATTTATTTAAGAAGAGTTTCAAATATTGAACTTTCCCAAAAATGACACTAACAGAAATCGTTCTTTCAGCCACAAGCAATCGTAATTGAAATAACTGTTTGATAGTCACATCCAACTAAATTGATGAAAACAGAAATCTTTGAGACAAATTCCTGGTTCAATGAGAAAATCGCCTGTTTTCTCTGAACTTTCAACTTTTCATGATTTTCCATGATTATTTTTTCGAAGCTAATACCCATGTATTGTAATCTTATGTCTAGGCTTGGAACAACGAGTAAAAGACATGGTCATCATTCTTGGAAAGAGTTCGATCGACGGCTTTGAAGGAACACCAATGGAGAAAACTTTACAAAGTTTCATTAAAACATTGGAGGAAAGCATCAATTTTATTAAAAAGTTCACTGACGCTTCTAAATTGGATCGATTTCTGCATAATATTGATCATCAAAAACAATTTGAAATGTTCAACACCCAACTCTCACATATTGCGAACGATCTAAATTTAGGTCTGAATATTGCTTTGATGTTTGATCAACATCAAGATATGAGTGATAGACAAGCTGATCTTGCCGAAATCTTGTCAAAGATCGATGCTATTAGTTCGGCATTGGTTAAACAACAGTACGAGTTATCTACTCATAAAAAAGATATCAAAGATGAATTTGAGAGACGCTTTAATTCATTCAGGTTTAATATAAGGCAAGATATATTGATGGCTCAGAACCCAGTTGAGGCAAAAAAAATACAAAACGAGGCAACACTTTTTCTTCATATACCTGGGCATAATCTAGAGCGTGAAGAACTCATTGGTCAAGGTGGCTTTGCTGATGTTTATCGTGGCACATGGCTTAGCCATCACCATCGTGTAGCTATCAAAACAGTGCGTATAAAAGATTTGAAAGACCAGTCGAGACAAAGCATCCTCAATGAAATCACTGTCATGCATAGAATACACTTTGACCATGTGCTTAACATATTTGGCGCGTGTATTGAGCCAGATTATTATGCTCTTGTTGTTGAGTATATGCCTCTCGGGTCTCTATTTGACGTTTTGCACACGAAAACACGTACTTTTTCTTGGATAGATCGTTGGTCGATCGCACTTCAGATGGCAAAAGGTGTTAATTATCTACATGCAATGCCCATTCTCCATCGTGATATCAAATCGCTCAATTTTCTCATGGATAATACGACAGACGGATATCTCGTAAAGATCAGTGACTTTGGTTTGGCAAAGATTCGGCAGGAAACAAGTCGACAGACGACTGGGAATGATCAGCAACAAGCAGTGAGAGGGACACTTCAATGGAAAGCTCCAGAACTGCTTAAATTGAAGAAACCATCAACAGCCAGTGATATCTACAGCTTAGGTATTGTCTTTTGGGAATTAGCTACTAGATGCATTCCATATGATGAACTAGACGAAACAGCGATCGTTCAATGTGTCAAAGTTGGAGAACGACTCGAAATTCCTATGGATGTTCCGCATAATTTTGCGTCGATTATCTCAAATTCATGGAGTCATGAATCAAGCGAGCGACCAACTTCTCAAGAACTCATTCAACAAATTATCTCTGCTTCATCTAACACGATCAAAACGACTTTAATGTGAGTAGATAATGAAAAACAATCTGACTTTAAGAAAATTCCTCAGAAAAACGAAATTCTAGACCAAACTGTGAGTACTAACATTTCTCATATAGACGGTATAGTATTCAAACATACTACAAGCAGGAGAGCAAGTGTAACGAGAAATTGATGTCTCTAATGTTTTAAATACTTCAAAAAAATGTTGATTTAAGTACATTCACTCAAATATTTCTAATAATTATAAGAATATATAAAAATATCGAACAATATGTTTTGAATTTAAATAAAAATAGTTCTAATTTTAGACTAACGATTATTTTTCTATTCGAGTCTAATTAACTAATACTAGAATTAAAATTACTATTGGTACATACGAAGGAAATAAGTAAACAGAAATATGCCAGATACATCATCACTTTTTTTAGTACATAAATATCTTACGCACTTCATTTTATCACAAAGAATTGAAATTCAACTACGAAGGTAACCGTCAAAGTTTATAGAAATTGTATATCCAACACTTCATACTTACAAAACGAAATAAAATATTAAAAAGAGAGAAATATGCAATAAACAAAATAGTTCCCAAAGTTCAATTTTTATTAGTCTATTTGAAAGCGTTCTAGAGAGCTCGTTCCTGTTTTCTCACTAAAAAAAGAAAACAATGGCAAAGCTTCAACATAAATCATGCGAAGATTTTTTGTTTGAGTAATTTTAGATAAACAAAAATTTCGATAATAATCGTCATTCAGGAGGCTTGTAGAATATCTGTTGTTTTTTCAAACATATTTCTTGCGTTACAATTCATTTATTTTCTTTGATAGATCACTTTTGAAAGTACATAGTTATAGAGACTAGAAGTATTTTTATTAATCTTCTTAAAGAAACTATGATAAATCATTTTGTGGAACTCACGTATGTTTTCGAAGAAAATAGTGAGTGTAAGTGTTCAGCTCGAGGTTCGCGGCTCCCCCCTCCCCCTCACCCCATTACAGACA